CTTGTATTATGCATTCCCGTTCATCACACCGCTCATACTGTCAAATGCTGCCTCTTCTCTTTCACAATGGCATGGGTCACAGTAGATAGGCCTGGTGCAGGTATTGCCAGTTCCTTGCTTGCTGCAGTACAGTATGACATATTAACTTAGCTGGTAAGCAGTGCATGTGTGCATGGCAAGTGTTATTTTTGTCCATTGCTTCCCAACCCATGTGTAGTGACGACTGCTGCTCTGAGTGCGGCCAGTGACGACTGCTGCTCTGAGTGCGGCCAGTGACGAGCTAGTCAAGGACTCCGTCTCAGAACGCATGACACAAACGTGTAAGCCTAGTATTGCTGCAAAATTAAGAGCAATTTCTCCTACTGCTGACTGCTGAAAATGTTGTGTCCTTCACAACTAGTCTCTTTGTTCTAAGAAGTCTGCCTCTTTCATCGATTCGTGTTTACCTAGCTGCGTTACGCTATTAGTAGCCTATTACCTGTTGTGCAATGGGGCTGGCCTAAAAGCTGCTCGCTCAACAGTTGTGTTGCATGGCATAGAGCGAGAGACGGCAAGCCGCCTCGGCATATTTGCGGATAGAGCTTTTATTAGAAAGGAAAAGGACATATGGATACAAGTTAAGAGTAACTGTCCACCACTGTAACTAGCTACTACAGTAAAAAAAATGCAACAACTAGGCACAAAACTGACAGAGTGCTGAGACATTCGACGACCTGACTCCTAGCTTCAACACATCTCCGTAGCGCTAACCAACAGCCTTCCAACTTGGAAGGTTCAAGGTTAAAAGGAGAGACCAAAGAGGGGAAGGTAAGCGCAACGAAAATGAGCACAAGCTAGTAGTTGAAGCTACAGTCCCACAAGAACAAGAAATGTTGATTGTTACTGGACGATGACGAAACCAGTATTACCTTTCCCTCTTTGGTATCTCCTTAACACTACGGAGATGTGTTGAAGCCAGGAGTCGGGTCGTCAAATGTTTTAGTGCCTGGTTGTTGCACTTTCTGACTGTATTTAGTATATAGTGACAGTTACTCTACACTCATATCGATACGTCCTTTTCCTTTCTACATTAATTTTATTATTGCCATATTGGCTCAACATCCGAGTTTCAAAGAGCTTTTAGTGGACGACTTAATCCATTTTCGGCAATACTTACAACGATCCAATCAGTCATATTGTAGATCAGGCTATGCTGTGGGTAAGTATACTATTGGCCTTGTATGGCTTATTGTTTGCCAGCGAGTATTTAGCATCATCTACTAGTATTCACTCGTTTGACAGCCAAAGAGTATTTGTGTGGGAGGCTGGGAGTCTCGCACCTGACTTGGTCACGTTGCGCCTGAAGGTCACTAAGACGCGGCCATATACGGTGGAGCCGTCGCAGTTCCATCTACTGTCGACGAAACATGCCCGGTATTGGCTATTCCGGTACATGACAGCCCATGCCTGTAGCACCAAGCCTGTGTTCACTTTTGCCAAAGGGATCCACCTTACTCGGCCTTATTTAAATATGATACTCTGTCACGCTCTCAACTGTTATCAGGTTAGCTCCCGCTCCATGCCCATTGTTGGAGCGATAGTCCTGGAATCCAGAGTTGCAAGTGAGGTAGTGATATGGCAAGCAGACGGTGGCAAAGTACGGCTTAAAAGCTCTACATCTGGCAAGTGGCCGGCATACCACCCCAATGGACATCGGAACAGTACACGTAGAGTAGCATCTCTACGTGACAGGGTATGAGCGCAAGTGAGTTATTATGCTCTACTAATGTGCATTGATTCTGTGACTATAGTTGGTGTACAGATCTCATCACATGTGCCTTAGGTGGGATTTGCTATTGTCACTGGAAAATTCAGCCCTAACAAACAGTGTGATGGATGAATTTGACTCCAAGTATCTGCTTTTGGGAATGCCATGTATGCATGTCTGGCGTGCTGCTGCTATAATGTTGTGGCAGCAGCATTTTGGTGCGATGGACTGATCTTGTAACGGTGTACCTACCCATTTGCTGTTGCCGGATGCCGTGTTTTGTCAGTTGTGCCTGTTTGAAGGTGCCAGGCCAGCTTGTGTTGGTGCGTTCCCGTTAAGTTGCCAGGGCACCATATTTGTAACGGCGTTCCCGTTTTGCTGTTGTGGGGCTGTGTTCGTATCGGTGTGTTCCCGTTGAAGTTGACGGGGCACCACGTTAGTGGATTGTGCCTGTTTGAAGTTGTCAGGCCAATCCTGTAACGCACACCCGTTTGCTGATAATTGGGGACATGTTTGTCCATTTTGCTCGAGATTCACATGGCTGCGCCAGTTGCCTTGTGCGGATTAGACTGTTATCTGGCACTAGTCTTGATCTGTTTTATTCAGATTCAGATCAGCTATTGTTCCTATACGAGAAAATCTGTGGGTGCACATCCAATTCATTTGCAGATTTGCGTGCTTCTCCTGCAACGGGCGTTTACATGGTACATGGTGTGTGGGCGTATGTGTGGTGTGTTCATGCTGTACAGGCCAGTATTGCCAAGCACTGGGGACCTTTGGCAATCTGAAGAATGTTTTGTCCGAGAATCGATCCTTGGATCTGTGGCGTTGCAGTTGTGGTGCTCCCGACCCTCTTGCGCGATGGCCGCAGAGACTTGGCGAAAAGGTTCGAGACATACGGCATCTCAATATCTTGCACCACCATCGAGTGTAGCGACATCAGCAATAGAAGACGCACATGATATCATTCACCCTTACGGCCTTAGCGAAGACCCGGGAATACCTGAGAAGATGTTAGCCGCAACTTTACTGGAAAAGTCGTCGGTGACAACGGCACTCCAAATTTTAGCTGCATGCAGTTAGGTCTCTCAACAAGTGTACCCAAAGTTTTCAAGCTAATACACAAGCAAATTCACTAGGGTCCGAGTATATTTTCCTACACCTCTCCCTGTTGTTGTTATTTCTGCATTCAAATTGTTTGTGTACCTGTACATTTATTACAGTAGAGCCACGCATCCACGGCTGTTGTTTCCAAGGGGTCAGGCTCGTCAGTTATACAAAACCTTTCAGCAATCTGGCCTTAGGCTTAGTTCCTTGACTTCTTGTACCACTTTCTTAGATGCACATCCCACTGGATAGTGAGCAATACGTGTGTAGCAGAATCTGTATTCCAGAAAAGCAGAGACTTAATCCTATTGACACTGCGTTTCTTTTTAAAACGTTATTGGCTGTGGTGTTCCTAGAGGTATACACGTACATTCCTGGGTCCCACGTTCTGTGACGCCCGACTGTATTCGTGGTGCCTCAACAACTTTTAATTTTGTGCACTCGGGAAAACCTGCCTGAGGCTGTGAGGCTGCAGAGTGTTGGCTGTGTTTTGCTTTAAAAAACCATCAGGTCTCCCCAGATTTTCTAGTCTGGCCCTGAATTTTGCCACTCTTCGGTTTCAAAACCTAGTGTGGTGGTGGAAAGCCTAGCAGTGTTGTGTGTGCATGTGTGTATTTTGTACAGTGCTGGCCAGAGAAATCCAACCTCGTTAATAAAGTAGCGCCACGTTCGAGAGCACAGACCGGTCCAGTATGTTTACTACTAGGGCTGCGTAGCGCCCGGTGCAATTTTATTCATAAGGTTGGATTTCTTTGGCCAGCATGGCCATGGTAGTTAGAAGTAGGTCCTCTGTTTGTGCGCACTTGTGGTCACAGTGGCAGTAGTGGGTGAGGGGTAGACTCAGTTACTACGAAGATGGTGTATACATGATGGTGTATGCAGTCATGTAGTTGAATGTTACTTCGGGCTTAGACCCAGAGGTTCTTGCAATGATGACCCTGGGTTTATGTACATGTTTCATTCAGCTACCGTTGTCATGGCACTAGTTGATAGAACACCTGTATAAGTACAGGCTGTATATCTAGCATTTTCCAAAATAGCACTCCGTACTTCGAGGCTGCAGCCGTTTTGCATGCAACGTTGTATGTGTTGATCGGTTGACAGCATGTGACAAAGCCGAGGACACACTAGTGTATCAGGAGCACTGTTTTTTAACACAGTGCGTCCCCCGCCTTGTCATGTTAATTTATCAAACAAGGCTTACCTATACCAACATTATACATGTAGGGCTGTGCATGCTTTCAAAATTCTTCCTTGTTGAAGTAGAATACCGTGCTTGTGGGGGCTTTAGTAGTTCCTTTGCCAGATGTTCTATGCGTATCTCAATGACTTATCAGTTTCAGCACTCGGGCAAGGCACATTCGGGCCAACACATGTAGCCTTGAATTCTGGCTTGGAGGCATTATTTATCTATTTTCATGGCTGCTAGGTTCATCCTTAGTTAAGAGTTATTTCTCCGTGATTCGCTGATGAGTCCACAAAGGACGAAACAGCTAGACAGTACTAGTGCTGTCCCCAGATCATGTATTCTAAATCCATAATACTGACGCTCAATCTCCAGACAGCTGTTTCAGCCTTTTTAGGTCCCATCAGTGGAGCTCAGAGCGGGAGGTTAAACAAATGACAATACGGTCTATATGAAATGAACAAAAAAAGCTATTTGAAAATGGCTCAAAGCATCAAAGTCAGCGAGCTATCTGCAAGACACGCACAAAGAGAGCTTTGCACGAAGGCAGATACATATTACATATACCTTTGACACTAACCAAAAAGAGTGCTCAATTAAGTCAACGCAAGGCAGCGTAATGCGGTGATCGAGTCTATAAAAAGCTATAGTGACATGTAGCCAGGCCCCCAGCACAATAAGCTGACTTGCATCATGCTAAAATCGTTCACACAAATCTCTTATAATAATTATTATATAGATTGCAGGATAGGGTGGTTGCACCAGGAAGTGCTGTCTCTGCGATAGTGGGACCAGCCAAGATTGCAGTACAGTCGTCCACCATCAATCCAGCACTTCATTGGCCCACGCCCTCGATATACCAGCATGATTTCCGGAGTTATTACCATTTATCGACACATGCCCCCCCCCCCCCCCCCCCCCCAGTTCTTCGGCACCTGACCCGAGGTCTATAAAGGGCCGCACTACTTTGTAGCGGTCATACTATAGTACTAGAACTGGATGCACGTGATATCCACTGGAGCTGGCGCTGGCCATGAGCTGACCCACCGCCGTGCCTCCCAGTGGCAATTTTGCTTATGTGATCCTACCACAATCTGGAACATTATCAGTACTCGCCTCTGTTGACTTGCCAGCACTAGTTCTGGTGGATCCGGGCATGTTTCTGCCTTCTCTTAAGCATGTATTCGCCTGCAGGTGCATCTTTCACCTCCTTCTAATGCGCGAGCACATTTTCTGTGGAGATTCAACAACACATACACCAGAAAATACAGAACGGAACAGTGGCTGCCAATGCGACACAAGTACCACATAGACCTAAAAACTCATAAGTACCCTGGGAGTTAGATGCATTTACGGGCAGTATGCCAGGATTTGCGCAGCTAATTTAAAATCAGATTAGCAATGCTGTGTGCTACCAAGGCGGCATATTGGACTCAAAAACCAACCGATTGTGGTCCAACCCAACCGACAGCGTTGTCGGTGGGTTCCGATTGGCAGGTGTTGGATGGACGTATGATCCATGCGTCCCCACAAGCAATGAGAAGTTAACAATGCCACTAAGGATATAATATCGCGGACAGCAGTACAATGAAACTGGGCCATTCATTATCAGCAATATCAGGGGTATATCCCATCCGATAAGACGTACAGCTTGTGTATGGCGGACTTTACAGCAGGTCCCGACATAGCTTGCCCCGTGCCCTTTACCACTCTTGGGCCAAAACTGCTGTACAATATTCGAGAGGGTCTAGCCTAGTGAGTGTGAACAGAACCTAGCAAACCATATCTCCAAGTGATTCACATGTTGGTATATTCTCCGTTATCATACATCAATTCCGAGCAATTTGACACCCGAATATTCTCGCACCACTACTGCTGAAGTATTGACCACAAACCATGTTCCATTTGACTTACAAACGGAACTTGCAAAAGGCATGAGAGCACTGGAATCTGTAAAGACTCTCGCATTATTAGTAGGGCTGAAACGATCATTCAATAACTCTTAACGATTAACCAATATCATTAACGATTGATATATTGGTTTTATCGATTCTTGTCGGCTCTACCCGTGTACCTCGAACACCAGTTTATGAAAAAATTCCACGATACTTTTGCTACGTTAGAAATTTGTGGCACCGCACTGTTGACATCTGTAGACATCTGGCTGGTTTATCAACATGTTCTAGAGAATTTCATGTTGTTTCTAGAGGGAAGAATCTTGTCATTACCCTCCAGCAACTGCTCTTATCTCTGACCTTTCCCGCAAATGAACTGAAAAGACAAAGAGTGCTCTCTTCCGATCTCTTTCAAAGCCACGAATCAATTTTACTGCGCTTGAAAGTACATGATTGTACTCATATTCACTATCGGATGGAGTGCAAAGGCTGGAATACTGTCACTCATATACATGCATAAAAAATTGTTAGCACTCGTTTTGAACACTAACGATTATCGATTGCACTCTTAACGATCGATATGCGAGTTATCGGTATAATTGTTTCAGCCCTAATTATTAGCCACCATACATACCTTTCGGGAAGTCGTGTTGGAAGCAGAATGCTCGGAGAGCAGAGCTGAGTGAGATCTGCATACAGTAACACAGCGACAATGAATCACATGAACAGAAGGAAGCAGTCGTATCCGTACACATCTGAATATGCGCTTATGGGAGGAAAATCCGTGCGACAAAAGAGGACCGTGTTATGCAGGTGTATGTCTTACCCGGGTACGTACTAAGTGAGCTCCACCGTACGTATATAATTGTATTGCAATTGAATCACTTGACTGACTGGAGCCAAAAATATCAATTGGCACTTACTCCGGTTACCCGAATGTTTCGGTACCACTATCATTAGGTTTGTTGCAATCGAACCAAGTCATAGTTGAGTCATTTTCAATGCGTTAGGTGTTACCTGACATGCCCACTGCATCAGCCGCTATGTCATATTCCACCAGGCATGCACCAAACCAGGCGCAGTGCGCACACTGATGATGGTGGTTGTCACACAACGAGCAGTAGTAAAAGTGAAAGGACTTTTTGCATGTGATTTTGTTGTAATTTGTGCCAGTCGAATTGTCTCAGTGTAACTAGTTTATCGTTAGCTTACTAGTTTGTTTATACAAAAGAGAAAGACCAAGGAACTACAAGTTACGCTATACTGTCCACTAACACCACCAGTTACTAAACAATCAGCTCATGCGATAGCATTGCACGACACTGAACAGCTCTAGCACATCTTGGATGCGCACTCCAACAGCCTTGTGGACGACGACCGTCACTGGAGAATCGGTCCGTCGCTCCACCAGCCCGGCGGCACAGTGGACAGTGCCTTGGGGGTGTCAGGCATGGATCAGGCTGATAAGGACGTGGTGGAGACGGAAATGATGTTTGCAAGGAAGAGTGATGATATGCGTATGTGCTCTCCGCCAGTTGTTGAAGCAACAGTCCGGCAGTGGAAAGTCGGCAAGGTTAAAATAAGTGACCAACTGGGTGAAAGTACACCAAATGTGGCCCATCTCTTGAATGGTGCGGACCACGGCAAGGACCTGAAGTGTAAGGTCGTCAATGGCAACACCGCATGGTCGACGTCAATGGGAACATCAAGCCATCAAGTTGGTGGAATTATGGAATGTCTGTCGCAGGCTGCAGCGACAGGGTAACATGCTCAGGGAAGAGTACAGCGACGATGATCAGCTGTGTCTTGCACTCAGTCGTGTTGATCGTGGCGTGCAGAACAACAGAGTCAGTTGCGGTATTCGTACATTTGTCTGTTTAGGATTTTAATCCCCAGGAAGTCCTTTGGTGAGGAGTGATGTCACGCAACGAGCAGTAGTCAAAGTGAAAGGACTTCTTGCATGTGATTTTGTTGTAATTTTGTAAGGTGTGGTGGCAGAACTTTCAGCTGGTAGTGGGTGATGGGCTGGCGGTGTGACACCAATTACGGGCTTGACGAACGACATAATTATGGCGAGTCGATCTTTGGCCAGTTGCTGAGTTGGAGATCGTCACCGTAGACCCAGAGATCTGGTCCACGGTCCAGGGGTTGGGATCCCACTGTGGTGAGAGCTTGTGTGCCTGCTCATTGCGGCGTAAGACGCGCTGACCAGGAGTGAGGATGGGGGCGTTTGACCGGCGGGTGGCATTGGCAGCATCGCACTGGGATTGGCGGAATTGCTGGTCACGGTGGGCAGCTGAAGGCAAGTCTGGTGCGGCTGCCGTAATGCAGGGTATGCTGTCGCGGATGGGGCGACCAAACATGAGTGTTGCCGGTGCCTCGTGAGTGGCAGGGTGTGGCGTGGTGCGGTACGCTAGGAGCCATTGGTCTAATGCAACATTGATGTCTTCGCCAGCTAGTTTGGCAGTTCGCAGAACTTTGCCAATGGTACGGTTGAGGCACTCGACTGCTCCGTTTGCTTGTGGCCACAAAGGAGGGGTGTGGCGGTGCTGGATAGCGTGTTGCGCGAGGAAATCAGCAAAAGCCGAAGAACGGAACTGAGGACTGTTGTCCGAGACTAGCTCTTCGGGCAAGCCGAACATGGATAATGTAGAGCGCAGAGCTTTAACAACACCGGCCGTAGTGGGTGTCGTGCTGAACACGTTGATGACTGGGTAGCGAGTCAACTGGTCGATAGTGGCAAGCAGGTGCTGACCGTTTGGCATGGGTCCATACAAATCGACGAAGACTCGTTGCCACGGCTTGGTGGACGGTGGTGTGGGCACGGACTCCCGGACGTAGCGGTGTCGTTGAGAGAGTTGCTTGGCACGGAATACATTGCCGGCAGAGTGCTTCGGCTTCAGTAGCCATGTTGGGCCACCAAACCTTGCTGTTGAGCCGTTGCTTGGTGCGGACAATATCTTGGTGGCCCGCATGTGTAAGCTGCAGGGTAAGCCGTTGGAGGGCCGTGGGAATGACGAGACGGTCGTTGCGGAGTAGTACACCGTCACTCTCAGACAGTTCATGGCGGAGGGCAAAGTACGGGCGGACCGTGGTGTGGTTGGAATCCCAGCGGCCAGATTGCAGAGAGGAAAGGATGGCTTGCAGTGTGGTGTCTGCGGTGGTGGCGTCTGCGATCTCCTTCAGAGCCAACGCATTCGGCTTAGCTGCTGTAGCTAGGGCATGTATGTACGTAGTGTCTTCCTGTGCGCCGATGTTTGGCAAGTCGGGATGAGGCTGCGGATTGCGACTGACGACGTCGGCCGGGTTTTCTGGGCCAGGCTTGTACTGGAGCTGGAAGCTGAGATCCTGCAGGCGGAGGACCATGCGCTCAATTCGTGGCGGAGGTCTCGATCCGACGGCCATGAGTTGCAGGAGCGGCTTGTGGTCGGTGACAACGGTGAACTGTGGATCACCTTGTCAAGTAGTGGTGAAAGCGAAGGCAGCCAAACTTGACACCCAATGCTTCCCGGTCAGTTTGAGAATATTACTGCTCGACGCCGGAGAGTGCACGGCTGGCGAATGCTACAGGTGCATCGTGGCCGTTGTCTTGGCGTTGACACAGGATTGCGCCGAGGCCGGTGGGCGATGCGTCGACATACAGTGATGTGTATCGCTTGCGGTCAAAGTATTGCAGCATGCAGTCTTCGGCGATGGCCTTCTTCAGTGCATCAAATGATTGCTGCTCAACATCAGTTCAACGCCAAACAGTACCTTTCTTAGTGAGAGCAGGGAGTGGCGTGGTGAGATCGGCCATGTTACGAATGTAACGGCGGAGGAAGTTGGTGAGACCCAGGAAACTCTGTATGTCGCTGACGCAAGATGGCGTAGAGAATGTAGCCACAGACTGCTGGTGGCTGGGAGAGGCGCGGATGCCCTTGTCGGAGTAGACGCTAGCCATGAACTTGAGCCGAGGCTTGAGGATGTGACATTTCAATGATTTGTGACATTTGGCTCGGTTGAGTGTAACATTGTGATCTTGGAGCCGCTGGAGGCAGGCGGCGAGTCGTCGGTTGTGCTCTTCGACGCTCTTACCGAAGTAGAAGATGTTGTCATGGAAGTTCTTCACACCGTCGAGGCCAGCGAGCCATGGCGTCCAGTGTGCGCTGTAGGATCTCGGATGCGGACGATACGCCCATGGGCAGACGTTTACAGTGCAAAACTGCGTAGCGACGTGACTCAGGGTGGTCTGGCTCTCCACAGCGGTAGCAGAGCGATGTGCTGGATTCGCGCTGGCCTGGAGCGCGAGTGGCGACTGGGGCAGGTGGCTGGTGGTACGAGTTTGCAGCTGGATGTGGCGAAGACTGCATCGGTTGACGCGACGGAGTTGAAACAGTAGCAGGAGGCGGCTGTGTCCTTTTGTAGAACGGTGGCTGATGACGGAGGGCATTGATCGAGTCTTGTGTGCGCCGGAACGCCGTCGTCTGTTCCACTGACGCTTCAAATGCTCTGGCGGCCTTGAGCGCCTTGGCGAGATCAAGGGACGCAGTCTCCAGCAGTTTTCTGCGGAGTAGATCGGACGTGCATCCTGCCACAATTTGATCACAGAGAGCCACGTTCTTCTGGGCATCGTCGGCGAAGCTGCAGGTCGTTGCCGATGCCAGCAAACGAGTATAAAACGTGTCCAACGTTTCGCCAGGCTGCTGGGTGACCTGCCGGAAGTGGAAGCGGGCCATGCTGGGGCTCTGCTTCGACTGAAAGTAGTCGGCGGCGGCGGTTATGAGGCCGTCGAGATCGTTGCCAGTGTTGGCTAACGTAGGGACGAGCTGCTGGATGTACTTGCCGGCCACATACTGGAAAGTGTCTCTCTGGCGAGTGTCATCCGAGATGCCGGCTGCTGCGACATAGATTTGGAAACACCGTTCCCAGGCAGGAAAATGGGCAGCAGCGTCGTAGAGACTGCTGTAGATCGGGAATGGCTCCGGAGGTGGTAGTGACAGTAGGGACATGGCGAGGATCAGGCGTTTGCTCGCAGCGCCAATGTAATGTTGTTCTCTTGCTGTATTCCAAACAACAACTAACTCGGAGCTCCGGAAAGCTCCGCAATAGTGAGGTTTTGCATTCCGAATTTCGGCTCGGCGTTCTTTGGTCATTTGTCGAACATCAAAATGTCGAATTTTCGCACCGACGTTTGTTTTGCAAGTCGAAAATGATGTGTTTTGATTTCGTGAGCCCCAGCATCAGCAATGTCCTGTCCCGTGCTCCTTTTCTTGCTGATTCCGACAAACTTTGATCGCGCCCAAAGAGTCGAGGGCCAAACCTGCCTCCTCAGTCGCCTCAGAAAAACCAACTCCATGGCTAAGTCAAATTTTATGGGTATCGCCATATTCTCGCTCCACATATACTGGCATACACAGAGACATAGACAGCAATAGCGACAACACACAAAGTGAAGGGTAGCTGGCCGCAGCCAGATGTGACTCAGAAAAAGCATAGCGCGGCGAAAACGAGAAAGAAGGCAGAGAGATGCAAACAAGACAGGAAGACTGACAGAGAGAGAGTACGGGACAAAACGAGTAGGCTATGACCTACACAAAGTTTCTCAAAGTCCAAGGACCTAGCACCCTGATCTGGTGCAGTACGTCCCAGTTCAGTGCTGAGGAACCACCCACCAAACTGAGTGTGAGAGCATGTAGGGTGTCTATAGTAGTTCAGGTGTCAGGAACTGGCCAGCCAGGACTTGATAGTGATACGTCCACGCAGTGCACATGAACAAGGCATCTGATTCTCAACCCTGACTGAACAGCAGGTGGCGACTATAAAGATCACAGATAGCAGATATATCGGTTCAGTTTGGGCTGCACAGGATCAATCCTCCCATAGCCAACCCCTGAAGTACTCTAAAGCAGGGAGTAGAGAAGAGAAAGGAGAAAGAACAAGCAGGAAAAGCACACAGAACAGCAGAGTAGGTCATCTGGAAGCAAGAATCATGTACAGGGTTGTACCACGAACAGACTCGGGACAAGTGAAACCCGATAGGGCCGGCATGATTAAAATGCACAGCATAAAATTGTTGGAATTAATCCAGGAATATTCACACAGTGCCGCCAGGCCTCACACAGAACACACAGAGCCTATGCAAGAATCCAGTAAGTTAGGCCTGATCCGAATTTGCAAAGTGCATGCAACACCTGTCCAATCGGACTGGTACAGTGGGCCTATTTTGACTTCGCACAGTAGAGAATGAACTCCTCCAGTAAGACATTTTTACTGGGATACAGCTGATACCACACAGTATGCAAGGCATTCCTCTAATAGGACAGATAATGAAACTGGAACTCAATATTTAACTCTCGGTGACCGAAACGTATAGCCGGTAAGATCATTCTACTGGGACCCGTCCAACATGGTACGTGGCGAACGCATTCATTCATCGAGACGATCATACAGACTCAACTGACATCGCACATTGCACAATACGTCAACTACATGTAGTAAGCCATTGATATTGGGAGGTGGCGGACATTACACAGTACCCAATGCACCCATAGAGACTGTTATGCGGGGACCCGTCTGACATTGTATAGTACACAATCTGATGAGCGAATAAGACTGGAATGAACTCCTCCAGTAAGACATTTTGACTAGGACACAACTGACCCCACGCAGTATGCAAGCACTCCTCCAATGAGACACAATGATACTGGAAATCGACATTATAACTTTCGGTAAACAATACGTACATCCGGTAAGACCATTCTACTGGGACTCAACCCAACATTGTACGTGGCGTAATGCACTCATTCTTTGACACAATCGTACAGAGACACAACTGACATCGTACATTGTACAATACGTCAACTAGTAAGACATTGATATTGGGAGGTGGCGGACACTGCCGGGCTGTAAGTGCCTTACGTTGTACGGTGCATAAGGCGCTCATCCAGTGAGACAGTTATATGGGCACTCATCTGGCGTTGCACAGTGTAGAACACACTCATCCAGGGCGACAGATCTAGAGGGGTTCGGCTGGCATTGGACAGTGCACAATGCGCTCTTCCGGTAAGACAGTTATACCGGGCCTCTACCGTCATCTCGCAGTGCACAATGCACTCTTCCAGTAAGACAGTTATACTGGGGATCCTCCGTCATCTCGCAGCGCACAATGCACTCTTCCAGTAAGACAGTTATACTGGGAATCCTCCATCATCTCGCAGTGCACAATGCACTCTTCCAGTAAGACAGTTATACTGGGAATCCTCCGTCATCTCGCAGCGCACAATGCACTCTTCCAGTAAGACAGTTATACTGGGAATCCTCCATCATCTCGCAGTGCACAATGCACTCTTCCAGTAAGACAGTTATACTGGGCATCCACCGTCACCTCGCAGAGCACAATGCACTCTTCCAGTCAGACATACCGGGATCCGTTGGACATCGCACAGCTCCCGATGCACTCCTTCGGTGAGACAGCTCTATCGGGACTCATATGACATTGCACAGCGCATAATGTGCTCGTCAATTCAGACAGTTACACCAGGAATCAACACTGACACTCAGCGCACAATGTACTCCTCACGTAAGACAGGTCTGGGATAGCACATCGCACGATGCGTTCATCCAGTAAGACAGTTACACCAGGACATGTCCACCAACACGCTATGCGAAGTACACTCGTCCAGAAACACAGTTTTACCACACAGCGCATAATGTGCTTGTCAATTAGGACAGTTACAGCAGGAATCATAGCCGACACTCAGTGCACGATGCACTCATCAGGCAGGACCGATCTAACATAGCACAATGCACAATGCGTTCAGTAAGACAGATACAGCAGGACTTGTCCGCCCGCACAGTATGCGCAGCACACTCATTCCGAAACACAGTTATGCCACCAGCACACAGTGTGCCATACGCGCATTTACTAAAGTTAGCTTCGCATAGGCGAATTTGTAGATTCATCCACTGACGCACAAATAATGCACCGACGCTGTACAATGGATATACTGGAAGCGGAACTAGTGTAGTACCCTACCCCGCATAAAGTACTGGAATTGCAAACATTGCCTGTAGGGGTGTAAAGCAATCGAATGATTACTATAATCTGGAGCTTATTCGATTGTACAACTACGCCTGACCACCTACACGTAAGAAAGCACTTTATACCACCATATACAAATCCGGCATGGTTGGCGGCGCTACTCTCGTTACCGAATGATTTGGTGCGTGCCGGAGGAAGAGAAAGGGGGAGACAATCTCCATTATAATAGGATGCTTGGAGTATAGAAACAAGTAATTTCATTCACGACCGCAACAAAGCCCGAACGGAGGTGACTGGAGTACACTATGGCACCAATCTGTTAAACCTATGAGAAAAAGCATACAATAAATTCAACTTATCTGGATAGTCACTGGCGGCAGCCACGATCCGTCATCTGGCCTCGTGATCTCGCGGCTGGCGATGGCTGATTGTCCAGTGGCAGCTGCGGCTGTAGGCTACTGTAGGTACTGCAGTGGTCATTGATTTTGCTGGAGATGGCATCATGGTTTCTTCGTCCTGCCTGTTTTGCGTGCAGCGTAATCATCAGCATCAAATCATCACCACAACATTCCAAACTTTTCCTCCGCAATTCTCAGAAGTTTGTTTCATGTGTATCTCAGGCTCGCGCGATGGTCGATGGATGACATAGCGCCTTGCTGGTGTCTTGCACGGACATGGGGCTTGGCGCCGTCCTTTGTTGCGAACAGTTCGATTTTTTGTTCACACTGTTGTTCGCAGCATTTTTGGCTACGAGTATGAGCGAGGGTTTTGTTTGCTGGAGTTTGGGGTTGAGGCCCGTTCCAGACAATGTCCTCAGCTCCTGGATCTTGTCCTGTGGGTGTTGCGGTTTCAACTGCTGGCTTTCCACGGGTCGTGTCAGATTCCGTTACGCAGGGGACCTGTACGCCTCGGATGTTGGTCAGTTGGATGGCGAAGACGGCGATTCGGGGGACGCGGGGGTAGCCGACGACGATGTGATCGGAGGGGATGTCAAAGGCGCTGAGAAAGAAGCATTATGGTCGAGGGATCCTGACAAAGAAGTTCGTTCAAGGAAAATCCTACGGAGATGGAAAAAACCGGTCCACACTGGTGAGACTCAAAACTGACTGAAGAAGTCAGGAAAAGAAGCGACAACAAAGAACACACCAGATGCCATATTTGCAACTGAAAATCTTTCGCGAGAAATCATTTCTCGCCTATCTCGCTGCGCTCGGCCGGCGAGAAATACAACGTCTTTTCAGCCACACAGATGACGGTGAGGACACTCCAGGCGAAAGAGAGTAGACAGGCAGTGGAAAGGAGCAATCAGAGGTAGCTGACGATGCTGATGTCGTCAAAGACGCCTGCGAAGCCATGCCAAGATAAGAAACCTCTTTGAATAAATCACGCGCTAGCGCTCTTCCACAAGAAAATTCATCCGAAAAATATGTTCGGCAAAGTGAGCTTTTTCCGAACAAACATGCCGCATCTTCGTGTGCATTTTCGACCTCGCTCCCGCGTGCCGAATCTTTTGCCGAATTTCGGAATGCAAAACCTCACTAATATGATGCCAACAGAATGTAATGGTGTGCGTGCATGCGTACAGAGTCGGTGCGTACCGACTGTCAGCACAGGTGTGGAAAGCAGCATATGTAAATGGATAGGAGCACAAACGGTGCCGTGTGCATATATGTGTCGGTAGAGCATGAGACTCTTAATCTCAGGGTCGTGGGTTTGAGCCCCACGTTGGGCGCCAAATGTCGTCTCGGTTGGAGAACGAGCTGCCTCTACTATACCCTCGCCACGCCACACATCAAACGGACTAGTCAAGTGGTTTTTCTCTAGAGCTAGAGAGAGAGCTATTCATTACTACACTTCAGGAGACGACGGGAGAACTGACAACTGACATGGCGAAAGGAAACATGATATCGGAAAGTGGTGCCCTCATCAGCACAAAAAGTGGCGTACTCGATATCATATCAGCACAAAAAGGTGCACGTGTCAGCAATACAACAAAGCAGCGCAGCAGCATGTACGGGTCAGCAGCACAGAGACACAAATACAGCAGCAGGTACGACAAAGAGACAACACGTGCAGCCACATGTACAACATATGGGTGTGACAGTCCATATATGTACGTGTGAACACTACACACGATGAGAACATGCAAAGTATGGAGACCCAGACTGTGTGGTCAGCAGGACACAGCCCGTACAGGATGGAACAGACAACTAAACGTAATATAGCACCACGTACCGGCGGACTAGTCGACGCTGATGGGAGAAGTGGCACCCCCTGAGGCAGCTACGGATGCTAGAACTCTACAGCCAGACCAACACCAATATAAAACAAAAGGGTACACCACACCAGGAAGCAAGTCAAATAAAGATGTGTGAACAACGGCCACACACCACAGAAAAGCATACAGAACAAAAACTCAATTACCGACACCATAGACACTGCAAAATCCAAACAGGAGGAAAATACTAACTCCCTGAGGACACTGAGCATGAGGCAAACGAGCAAGCAACCTCTTGCCGATGTTCCACCGTGTAACAACAACCGCGCTGGCCACCGGACTGTATGGTAGGGGTATTACACCTGGACCTCAAGACCAACGGGCGAAGGACAGCAGGCCGGGCCCAGGTAAATACAATGAGGAGCACTGTATACAACTACAGAAATAACCCAAACCCATGCCAATTTGACCAACATACCTTCCCTGCGCATCCATTCCTAGTGTACGGGTCTGAAAGATGAAAGATGGAGCGCTTGTATACACGGGCCCGGAAAGCCTGCTTCGGCCGCTCGGCAGCAGCTTCGTAGTGGTGGTCAAGGGTCGAAGACCGACGGATACGGATCAACTCCCCAGTGAACACACCTTTGCCCATACTACAGGGGTGGTTACTACCGACAAGCAGATACAGGAAACGATTGGTGAACTTGAAATGAGGCTTCACCGCCATGTATCCCTTACTACGGAAAACTGTGGTGTCCAGGAAATCAATGCCATCATGTGCCAGTTCATGAGAAAACTTGAGGGCCGAACACTTATTAATCCAATCTAAAGTGCGCTGAACTTGACCTTCGCAACCATGCAATGATAAAGCGTCTATAAACCTGAACCTCTAAACTTTCCCCCTCTAAGATCGGCAAAACGTACCGCTTCTCCAAATACAGCATAACAATGTCGGCATAGACCACTGCTGCAGGCGAACCCATGGCAGTCCCTTGGATCTGCCGAAACACATCGTTACCATACACGAACTCATTTTTCTTCCGAATGACTGACATCAAGGAAGTCACTGCTGTTATTAACCATGTACGAAGGGCGAGGGGCATCCACCTTGTACACCTGTGTGTGATATACCACGACAACCGAGCTCGTTGGGGATGTTGGTGTAGTAAAGGCTGGTCACATCTATACTCAATTATAAATCATCGTCCCGCACAGGCAAACCTTCTACCAAGTTGATGAAATCCGCAATTGAGGTCAGAACAGTACTTTCCTCACATACATACGGGTTCAGTAGAAAGTCAGTGAACTCAGCGGGATAGTAGCCAGGACTATTTAGATTAACAATAGGCCTAACCTTCAGGACCCAGGGCTTATGTGTTTTGAGAAGTCTCCTGAAAACGGGCATGCGCCCCCGGCGCGACTAAGAACAGTGACATAATATTAGTGGGCATACGATGCTCAATGCGATGCCTAGTCATGGCGAGTAAACAATTGACTCGGGTCGCTCACACGAAGTCTCAACACAGCCTTGAGCCTGTTGGTTGCCATCGGTAGTCTAGCCGCATGCTCATCTAGCCCCTCAGGCAAAAAAAACAGTCATTTATAATGTTTGGCATTGTGATGCTGGGCACGACCTATATCATCATAGTGAGATCAGTCCAGGACTACTATCACAATAGACTGCCTTTGCATATGCCTGAGTCCGATCGCGTTCTAGCTCCCAAACTATGTGCTGCATGTGTACACTCCGCCTATGGTTAGTCTACTCCAGAACAACGCCTGGAGAGGTTCATTGGGGGCATGATGTCCCCCCACCCCATCCCCCCCTTGTCCCCTGCACCTGAAGTACCGGTATTGCCCCCCCCCCCCCTCCCCAAACAAATTACAGGACACAGATGGAGCACTGGGGAGCACGTAGCAGTAGGCAAAGTTGACGATGCCAGTGCAGACACGGCCTGACCTCGGTCACCACACTGACACCGTATAGTCTCCAAGGGACATAGCTACCAGAGAACACACAGAATGCGAGTATATAGTGCTATCTCGGTGGATAGACAACCTCCTATACAAAATATCTACTGATAGAGTTCTGTGTAGACCCTATGTGCAGATATGTGTGGATGAGTACTGGTAAACGGACAGCTAACCCTAGTCTAAGTAAAATAAAGGTAGAATGTAGAGCCTGGGCAAAAAAATAAGTAAATAAAAATATTGACTAGTTTTAGGGAAAGACACAAACGGGAAAAGTCTGAAGAAAAAATTGACTGTCACCAAAAAAATAATAATAGCTACACATACGAGGGAACTCGGATGGAGAGCCAAGGATTAAAATTGAAAAAGAGGACACTCAGTTTACGAGTTATCCGTTTTGTCCAACACTCACGGATATAAACGTGATGCAGCTAAGCATCAGGTCGTTGAATGTCAGGATCTCATCAGTCAGTTTTTGTGCTAATTGTTGCACATTTTTGACTCAGCAGTATTCTGCATATAACCGTTAGTGTTGGACAAAACGGATAACTTGTAAACATGAGGGAACACTCATCCTTACCCAAGTCCCAACGTCAGCACTCGGCGCTGCTCCGAACCAAGAGGGACACTGGAGAGATCGTCCATCAGCTCCTCTCTTGTCCTGCGATCAAATCGCCTAATGCTAAAACACAAGAAGATAGGAAAGGCAAGTAGAATAAATAAATCAATAAAGTAATACACAACAAAACAAGTTTGAACAGCTGCAAACGTAATGGACGATCCGAACAAGACCAATGATATACCTAGCAATAAGTGTGCAGAGTGTGCAGCCCAAGGATAATCATCCCACGGCAAAGTTTATTGTTTAGGGCATAGACTCACAGTAACAGGCTCACCTTTGCTGCATCTCACACCGCTTCACACGGTAATCTACTGTATCACCATGGTAATTTCTGTTGCACATTGCTGCTTGTTTAACAAAAGGCAGAAAACACACCGAATTTCCAGGAATTACCATGGTGATACGGTACTTTAGCTTGAACCTATTGCATGACGGGTTTTCTATGATTCATAATGACCCAGAGAGAAACTAAGCCGGTATCGAATTCCAGTCAGCGACGCAATTCTTCTGAGGTGTAAAGTGACTTCAGGAATATGTTGCAGAAAACTGCGATGCATGCTGATTATTTACTGTGCCCTATTGTGCACCATATACCTGGTGGGTTACTCAGGGATGAAGTAGATGCACACAAGTACCGTGCATCACGGCACAGGTTAGGTTCGCAACTAGCTGCTACAGTGTACTTGTGGTCCGAACTTGCACTCTACTCAGCTCTGCATATGCAAAGAGTGCTGGTGCCGAAATGAACCAGAAGGGTGCTGAGTGGGACGCAACAACACTGACTCTGTATACCCATGTACACAGATATGATAGGGTATGCAGTACCTGCTCTAAGATTTAACACAAACCGGGTACACGTCTACCTGGCACAACTCCTGCAACACTGGGCCAGAGCCAGATGCGTTCAAGTGCGGCTACTGTGTGTCAGGGAGTCGTAAACTTACTTTCGACTTCCTGATGTACATGATTGTACATGTACATGTATGAACGTACTCGCACTGGGCACTCTGGCCGCACGCATCTGCACGCGTATGCAGCCTGTCAGTGGCGGTATACCCTCCAAGTATAAAAAAGTATAGTACTCGACAGGACTTCCGACCGGGTCGCAGGTAACCCAGTGTTCTTTTTCCAAAAGGTCCAAGTACTCACAAACAGGGCCACTGACCTGGCTCTGGAGCAGACACTGGTAATCTAGGTCCAAGTTTGCTCGATTATGTTCTGACGCTTCATGTGCTTTCATAGCCAAGGTTTCTCACTTTCTTCGCAAGCTCTTTTAGTCTTGAGAGTTGACAACTGCTTATGGTTGTGTTGGCAGAAAACATGTCAGCTAATCTGACAACCGTCCAACCCCATTTTACTGGTAAGTAGTCAGCGAGTGGCTTTGATGGGGCCATACTATATTTGTGCTTCCTTTTTGAAAACACATTCTCGCTCGAAGGGTTTCTAAACTTTATCCCTGCGCTCATTGATGGAGTTCATCGATGGAGTTGCCAGCGGCACTCTACAGAAGAACAATGTTGTCAAGTTTTTTTATGAAAAATTGTCAAACATTTTCAAATTGCTATAAGTTTGGTTAGGGCCGGGTTCCACTGCGGCTCCGCAGCTCCGCTGCTCCACGGTACTTGGCTGCATGCAGCAGAGCGGCGTGGTTCCAGTGACACTCGCCATTCACGATACCGCGATCGTGCTCGACGTTTTTTGATGACATTTAGCCTGCCTGCGCACGCGTGAAATCCAAAAAAATCCTCGTGTTCTGGCCTGTGCAACGAATTAAAATTCCCCCGAATAAAACAATTAAGTGCGGGAAACAATGCAAGCCGTGACCGCGGCTTGCATTTTTTTGTATCAAGCAGCGAAGCGAAAGCTGGTGATGAGCCGCGGCCTCGCTGGACCAGCTCGTAATGATGACGTTTCATGCCGTGGATGATGTGCGGCGGAGCGGCAGTGGAACCCAGCCCTTAGGCAAAGGAAATTTGTCATGAATTTGTTTATGCTGCATAGATGGAGAGCTGCACACTCTGGCTTATGGACTCTCGCCTACAGTGTAGTCGTACTGCTAGTGTACTGGCATTACAGAAGACACGAAAAACGAGAACATAATTATGGCGAGAAAGTAATTACTGGGCAGTGGCTAAGAATTGCCCAAAGACTTACCGCTTCTCAGTGCTCCATACCAGGAAGTAGTACAATACCTACTCCCTGCTCCATACGAGTGTTTTCTCCTCATTCTCTGCATCCTTTGCCGCAGGAGTCTCGTCCATTTAGCGGCTCAAATGCTTGAGCTCCGGATAGCGGAAAATAGCTCGTCGTCCATTAGCGGCTCTAATAGTACCTGGTCTGAAGTGTCGCAGTCTAGCAACTATGATTTTTTCCAGGAGGGTAAGGGTTGCAAACCCAAAGAGACCCTAAGCTTCGTCTATCAAACAAAACAATTGCCCTAAAAAATGGAAGAGGAAAAGAGTGAGCGAGCTGGTCTGAGCGCGCTACTTTTCAAAAAATAGAAGCTGAAAGCCATCAAAGTCAAAGCATTCTGGCTAGCGCGTTTGTGTATGTCAAGAGCGCTAGCGCGCTAGTCGCAGCAAACGCTCGCAGGCCAGAGTTAGCGCTATTTGGGCTGTTTGCCGCACGCGGCAGCTGGATGGATCACGTGATCCAAGCTGACAAATAAGGTCCGATGGTTCAGCTACATTGAGCCACAAGCATTACAAAGCATTGCTCTCCGAGTGCATATACCGTAAAGTACCGCCAGAGCGCCCCACCATCTCGTCCTTTCGTGGTCGTATTGTGGAGGTGGTCTCATGTCTGTAGGTCATACGACACGAACGTTGTACACAATACTACACATACATGTATTGCACGTTCTGCATACAATCCGTACCTTCAAGCGGACACGAGCTCCACACAAAAACCTGCTTAGTGTGACCTTAGTACACTAAGGTTCACACAAGGTACAAACTTTGTTGCACTCTGCCATACGATTTTTCCTTTCCCTGGACCCTGGCTGTAAAATCAGGGTGGGGCGCTCTCGCGAGACGGGGCGCTCTGGCGGTACTTTACGGTACTGATAAACATTGCAAGCTTCATAATGTTCATGATCAATTCATTTCCGGGACAGCTCCGTGTAAAAACGCGAAATGCAGTCAAAATAACCTCCAGAAACATCTTACACCTAGGCTACAGTACATGAACAATCAACGGCCTGACAGGTAGGCCTCCGCGGAATATGCTCGTATTTTTACCGATAATTCCTTTGAGCATTGCTCAAATTTTCGACGGATTATTCCCGTAATTCCACCAATAATTCTCACAATAATGCTTTTTTCTTCCCTTTTTTTTTTGCAGATACCGTACCGCGTACTGTTTTTTGCCACTTGCACTGGCAAAAAATCACGGTTCGCGTGAAACTCGGCTGGAAGCTTTTTTTTTTCTTTTTGAAATACCGGGATCAACTTCAGGATTACAAGCTTTTTGGTGCAAATCAGGGTGTTATAAATGGAAAAAATTGAAAAAGGGGGGCATTGCTCAAATATTACCGATTATTCCACAAAAATTGCCAATAATTCCCGTTTTAAAAATCACACCGATAATTCCCGAAATTATGCCGGCACATTCCGCGGAGGCCTACTGACAGGCATGTGCTATCATAATCATACAGGTCTTGAATGATGTCATAGAGATGCATAGACGACGTCATACAAGTTGACCACATCTGCCGCATGATACTGCAGCTCTTACAGTTATGGACTCATGAGTCATGGCCCTAAACCGTAGTAAACTAGAACGCACTAACTGCGCATCACAGCCACCCTGAAAACACTTGATAGTTCTATATTAGACTATAGTTTGAAGAGGTGAAGACTTGTTTTCCGTCCACATAATTATTTATTTTACGAGTTGGGTTTGTGAATAATAGTAATAATAAAAAAACTATCCTAGAAGAGCGACTTGGAGCACTTAGCCAGACTGCTCGTAGAACGGCACAGCATAGCGGAGAGCAGACAAGGGATGTGCGCGGCACGATTGCTTAAATCAGCTGAATCTGGTCCCATTCATTTCGATTTTCAAAGATCTCTAACAAAGTACAAACTGGACACCTGGAATAGTGTACACACGGTGTGCAGTGACGGATAGCCCTGTAGCTGCAAACTCCGACTGTCACGCACGCCGAATGGTGTGAGGACTTGCCCAGACACTAGTCGGCTGAACTGGCCGAGAGAGAGAGAGATGGTGAAGCTGGCATAGCATGAACTGTTCGCCAGCCGGTCGGGTGGTGAACTGCTCAGCGATGCTGAACACACTGTGCTGTACACACAATGCTGTACACTCGATGATACACACATACTATGCTGTACAAACTATGCTGTAGACAATGCTGCACACACACACACACACTATGCTGTGCATGATGCGGAACACACAATGCTGTACACACCATGCTGCACACACGACGATACACACACGATGCTGCAATGTGCCCATCAATCCACCGGTGATGATGGACATTCACTGAACGTGGCTCAACAGGACATGCATCACTGACAAGCTAGAACCGATACCGCGGCGTGGTAGTGGTC